AAAGAAGGCCCTCAATGTTAAACAAACTGCACATTTAAACACTTCAACGACCTTATATATCATAGCTGCTACATTGTACTGCCATGTGGTTAATGCTTGTATATGCTGCTCATGCTCTTCCTGCATATCATGTATTTATTTTTGCTAAGTATATAAATGTCATGTTCTTATATGTTGTATGTGACGGGACTACGGATGGAAATTAGCTCAAAGCTCAAATCCGGCTCATTTACACTTGTAAGCATTATTTTGTTTTAAAGTGTTCATCAATGTCCCGGTTCAAATAAACAAATAAACGATTAAATGAAATGACATACTCTCTGTGCCAGATGATGGAATATGATAATGCTTTAACTAATATTTATCATAAACTGTGGTGGAAGATGTACTCAAATCAGCTTCGTGAGTAAAAATACTTGATTACAATTATTGGCAACAAAAAGTAATAATTTTGCAGTAAAATGTCTCATGGGACCGTTTGTTGCGTATTGTGTTTGTCTGAATACCCGCAGTATATCTCGCATACTACTGGACTCATCAACCTCATCTTTTTGGTGCTCTTTATGATCACTCCAACTTTTTTTTTATTGAGTGTTTAAAATCATCATTGCTAACTCCTCTTTGCTGGCCAGGAGGGGCCACATGTATCACAACTGCTTTATTTTCAAAGGGCATTTAAGTGTTCCTCTGCTACCAGTGTTTGTGCTAAGCTAACCAGCTGCTGGATGTCTCATCATGTTAAATATACAGATAGAAAAAGTAGTATCGATATATTTGGCCTTGAACACAACTCTTAAGACTTCTATTTTACATTGTATGCAGCATGTCATCTATCCCAAGTTGGTAGTTTATATCCCGGCCCCATCAATGATGAACTTTAGTGGAAAATCAACATGTCTTCAGGTGTTTTAACTGTGTGTGTGTGTGTGTGTGTGTGTGTGTGTGTGTGTGTGTGTGTGTGTGTGTGTGTGTGTGTGTGTGTGTGTGTGTGTGTGTGTTCAGCCTCGGTGCCTCAGTTCACCAACTCCCCCACCATGATAGTGATGGTGGGACTCCCGGCCAGAGGAAAGACCTACATCTCTAAAAAACTCACCAGATACCTGAACTGGATCGGAGTTACAACGAAAGGTATCACCTGACGAGATTACACTGAAACTCACACTCACTATCTAACACCATCATGTGATCACACTCATCATATAAACATATTTTATTGTGCATTATTTAATCTTTAACGAGAGATTCTGGGCACCCGAACTGTCAATAAGTGACAGAAATGTACCTGTTCATTTATGCAAAACACATTCAAATGTTTTTATTTTACACTCAACTCTTCTCACCCTCTGTCTGAAACTTCCTCTGGAGGAAACTTTGGGCTTGTAGCCTTTGCAGACCATGTACATGCACAAAAACCTATATAACACACTACAGTAAAAGGAAAAAAAAAGAAAACCATGGTAGGGCCTCTTTAACACTAGAACCGTCAGAGGTCGCTGTATACCTAAAACCGCCAACGGGTCAAATTTACCCGCTATTCATTTTCAAGGTACAATGTTCTTTTATTTATCATTCAAGAACAGTGAGTTTTGATCGCACAGGGATGAAACTTATACCAATATAATCTGTGGACTCTCAGCTTTTCGTACGATATAGTTTGTGCAGATAGCATGAAGTATAAAATATCGCTACCGTGAGTTATGTGCAAAGTGTCTCTCTCTCTCTCTCTCTCTCTCTCTCTCTCTCTCTCTCTCTCTCTCTCTATCTATCTATCTATCTATCTATCTATCTATCTATCTATATGGAACCGCAGTAGACAAAAGGCGTTGCTATAGCAACACGTCATGTTTACGCTGCATTTTCTATGAGGTAAATATTACCCGCTGGCGGATATAGGTATAAATGGCATTTTTTTCAATCTGACTTCATATTGACCATTTTTAACGACAGAGGGTGCTACATAACACACTTTCAGGAAAAGTCACGGAATGGGAGACTTTAATATTTTATTGAAAAAAAGTTACATACAATAAAAAAAACAGCTGCGGGTAAAATTGACCCGTTGGCGGTTCTAGTGTTAAATATGTTGGGGTCACGACAAGAATGTGCAAAATGTCTCATAACTAAATATCAACAACAACAATGATATACTGGGCTGGCTAGTTAAGCCTATACATGTATTTGTGATGCTTTTATCTGTCTTTATTTGTATTGTTTGTTTTATTTTGTATTAATGTTAGCTATTATAGACACGGTATAGTGCTTGAATATTAACAAGGCCAGGGACAAGTGGAATTTCTTTGGTACAATGTTTTAAAGGTTGTCGTAATTTTTCCTAAGTTCTCTTGATTTTATATACATTTAGATTTATGTCAACATAAACTCTGACTTCTAGCCTCCAGTTATTGTTTGGTATATCTCTGACGTGTGTTTTTGACAAATACCCATCTCTTTAATTCTCTCTCAGTGTTTAATGTGGGTCAGTACAGAAGAGATGCGACGCGCTCCTACAACAGCTTCGAGTTCTTCAGACCGGACAACGAGGAGGCCATGAAGATACGCAAGTATGAACCTTCCTCTTCCGACACTGTGCCGCTTCATATGTCCCGTCTCCTTGAGTATAAAACATTTCATTATGTATGACATTCTAGATCAGACTAGATTTTGCATTATTAATGTTTTTTTCTATTTCTATCCGATCCCAGGTCCTGTGCCATCGCTGCTCTGAAAGACGTCTGTGATTACTTCACCAGAGAGCTGGGGCAGGTCGTGGTGAGAGAAATACACCTTCAATAACGTTTAATCCTTAAAGCAACGATAACTCTGTATGCGAATGAACAGTAAACAGTGACGTTGTAATAAATAAGAGTATTATATAAAATATTAATCATATCAAAAATAGTGATGAACCTATCATGGAAGAGAAGTGAGAAATAGAGCTGGATTAAAACAAACATATGAACTCTTACATCAGACTCCCATGAAGTTGCTATTTGTTCTCCTTTATGCAGGGGAACCGTGTGATTTATGATTACCTTTTTAACATTTGTTTGTTTTTTTCACTAAAGTAGGATGTATCCAAACTCTAACACAAGCAACATTTGTTTCCTAACTAAATTCAATGTGAAGAAGTTCCAGCATGTTTTAGTGCCATATTAAGAGTTGTACGTCTCTTAGGACAATATCATGGATAATTATTATTTTGGCAAAGATAATCATGGAATTAAAATGTCCTCTAGTCCTGTTGGGGAAATACAAGCACCGTTGTACAATTTGTGAGGTTCAACCATTGCTGTAACGTTAAATAGTTAGTCCAATAAGAATCACTCTCTCATCTCGTTCGTCTTTAAGGTTTTTGATGCCACCAACACGACGCTGGAGCGCAGAGAGGTCATCCTCGGCTTCGCTAAGGAGAACGGTTACAAGGTGAGTTATTGTGTTCTGCCTTAATAATAGAAACCTTAGAAAAAATACAGGAATTGACCAATCTCTCTTTCTTTCCTCCAACCTGCCCAGGTCTTCTTTGTGGAGTCAATATGTGACGACCTAGAAATCATCGCTCAGAATATTAAAGTGAGTGAAATGTGAATGTTGATTTGAGAGTGTATTCCTTTTAGTTGGTACTTGGAGAGCATGTATTGGACCTGTTTTGGATTATACGTTTGGGACTGTTTTTCTTGCTGGAACTACTTTCTTCCCCTGCATATATATTGCGATATGAAAAAATACAGGAATTGAAGAAAAGACCGTTTTTTTTGTCTGCAAACCGTCCTTTCTTGAACTTTAATGCTATACAATTGGTATTTTTTTAACTATTCAACCGGATGAAGGATTTTAGTCACGGACTTCTGGATCTTAAGTTCTCAGCGCAACAAGCTGAGCTAGCTCGGTTATCCTGCTGTGATCTGATCAAGAATGATTGTGATTGGTGGTTTGCTGTGCGTGCAGAGCCTGCATGTCACTCACTCAAGTACCCCTGACATGAGAGCCACGCAACTTTTCCTTTTGTAGCAAGCAACAAAAGAATTGTAACACGACGTGTTTTAGTTAATTTGCCTACTTAATATCACACGTCCTAAAAAGGAAAAAAAAATTGCACGTCCTGCGATGTGAATATTGCGCATAACGCGATTATCGTCACGACACGATATATCGTGCAGCCCTAACAGACACACTCACACACTATCGATTAATTAGTCATACTTTTAATATATGCTTTGGTTGCACTTGTGGTTTTGTGATTTGTTTGTGGAAATGATCCAGG